AGGGTGAATACATCTCATTAGACCAAGTTCCTGTCTGAGAATGACTGATAGCCTCGACAGTTACTTGCGTGACAAATCGAATCTTCTAGCTTTGCACCTTCATAAAATTAACTATGGAAAATTCGTATCACAGTTTTTTGGCGTAGCTCCGAGAGCATGAATGCAAGTAGAATCGGCTGAGCGGCTCCTTCTGGCCGGATGGACGTTTCTGCACAATAGACAGCACCAAAATTGGATTTGCTGAAAGAGCACGAATCGTCGCAGGGGCTCAGGTCCTGGGCATCGGCTTTGATTCCATTTTGCGACTCCTGCTCTTCCTCAAGCTGCCGCCACCAGCGCAGACAGACGAGACGATTTCTCAACATTTTTCTTTTCTCCCAGTCTCCCAGTCTGCTGCCTCAGACTCAGACGACTTGGCTCCGAAAGATGCGCTGCCGCCGGGTTGCTCAAGTGGCCCTGCCGACGGCAGACATGTCTTGTCGCGATGCCGAGCAGCCGAGTTTGTGGTAAGGCAACAGTTGCTCTGCTTTGGTAGGAAGGAAAATTCAGCCGAGAATTCACAAACGAGATAGGATTTCCTCACTCACGGACGTCAAGTTATGATAAAAGGAGAAAGCTTATCTTCTTGTCTGGCCGCATTTCTTGGCGGTCAGTGCTCAGAGGAGGCGAAACATTGCTGAAGTCTGGCGGACGAGAGGACGATCAGTGAGAAGTGGTAGGCGTCGTGGCTGAAATGCGCTGAGCTACAGCCGCACGAGAAGCAATGCCTCCATTGGGCTGCCCGAGTGTTTGCTGTGCCGTCATGGCAACATAAGATTGTTTTTCTGTACACCATAACCTAGCGCCGCTCTGGTGGAGTTTGGCCGTGTGTTTTTGGTCATTGGCGTTAAGTGACAGTATCTACAGTTGAGTTGACCGACAAGACTTTCTAATGCTCTGATTTTGCTTTTAGCGCCAATCAGACAACAAACCCTTTCCCATCCAAACTATGTCTGGTGTCAGAAATGGGTAATCTGAAATGTTCTACCCTTTTGTCATATCTTCTGCACTTTCTCTTTATCCAACAGTCTGATTTACCTTTTAAACAGCTTACATTTTGACTATCGCAACTGGCAAATCGTGCTCCAATCCACAATGGAGCTGGTATATGGTCTCCTTGATTCAGATCAAGTAAGTCTCCAAGACGCAGATCTGGAAAACCTTCCAGGTCGGCTTATTTCATTTTCGCGGTTTCACTTTATTCTACCAAGAAACACTTTTAATGAGCCTCTATTATTGATGTTAAAACATCCTCAGTTGTTTTCCAAAAGAAAATCCTTCTCGAGGACCCGCATAAGTGTGCATGTGAAACCATCCAGAACGGGCTGAAAGGCCGGCTTTAACAGCGCCTTTGAGACATACGTCACAGAATTTATGACTATCGATGCTGCTCTTTTGTCTGCTTACGATTTGTCGTGATGCGTAATCTTGAAAAGGACTTGGAATACACCAAAAATAGCGAAAAAAGGTAAGCGGAGTACGTAATTTGGCTTAACCGTAAACCGAAGCAAGATTGCTCTTCAGAAGGAGAAGCCTTCCAAACATTGTTTAGGAGGCAATCCTTATTGGGCTTCAGGTAGGGCTAATTTGAAAGTTAATTCTTCACACTTAATCTTCATTTTTCTTCCCTTTCTTTCACTTCTCATCTCTTTGCTTTCCCTCCCCTTCCCTTCATTTCTATTCTCTTCACTTTCCTTTTTTCATTTTCTCTTCTTTTTAATCCTTTTTTCTTTCCTTCCTTTCCCATCTCTTTACCTGTATTTTATTCTATTCCCTTTCCTTCTTCTCTCTTATACACTCTTCATTTCTTTTCTCTTTTCTGCGAAGATGCATAAAGTGACCAAGAATGAGTTGTAACCGAACACTCTCTTGTCCAAACCACCAGGTCTCAGCCATTTTTTTCTCAATTTACTGTCTCAGCCCCTCAAGCTTCACAACTCTTCAACTCGTTTGGAGGACAATGCACCACCGCCTGTTTGATCATCTCTTGATGACTTCTCTTGGCGACTGCTCGATTCATGGTTGTAGTCTTCCAAGAGCCATCTATCCGTTTCCTACGCGACTCGGCAGTTAAATGGCATGATTGCAACGACTCCGACAAGCTTGGCTTTGGACAGACAATTGTGATTTGATGGAGGAGAGAAGATTCGCAGTCCATTTCATAACTTCAGTCCTGTTTGTCATATGAAATGCAAGCTTAGCTAAGCGACTACAACCCTTTATCCTATTCGCCTCTCTTGCTCCTCCAAACGGCGCCTTCAGACACTTGGCCTCTGGACCCTTGTGCTGGTATGGTGAATTGGGTTGGTCCTTTGACGCCTACTCCTCGTCCGGCCTCAAGTTTCCAGCTCACTGGGCGCATAAGGCCTCTTGTTGCCGACTCGGTGACGCTAGCAGGGGCTTTCGCAACGCATGCGATCCATTTGCACAACGACCGGTATCCAAGACGGGCTCAGGGGGGCAAGCCTATCGGCTGTAGACACGATGAGGCGAGGATATGTCTGTGAAATGAGCACATTTGGTAGCCCACATAGACTGCAGAGCCTTGTGGCTTTGAGGTGCAGCATCAATACAGCATGCTGGAATGATTGAACGAGTGATTGGTAGAAAAGCTATGATTTTCAGACGCAAAACGGCTCCATTTTTCTGTACGCATCAATCATCCGTGGCATCACAACGCTTCTGAGCTTCCCTTGCAGCCTCCTTCCAGTGAGCCTTCACCGTAGGTGGCCAAAATTGCTGATACAACCCTGTACTTTTGCTGGTGATGAAGGCAGCACTCAAGGTGAGCTTTTGACAGTCTTTCATGCCTTGACAGAGCAATTGTCCCATCAAGCCTTGATTGACAGCCGCCATTTACAGGAAGAGATGTTGGTCTGTACGCATTTCACCAAATCTCTCACAAACTGGATATCTACCGGCCGGGATCAATACATGAGAGTACCGGTTCAGTAGCCAAAAATAGTACAGGCATTTAGCACAGACTGCCGACTTT